AGAACTGGCAGAATACTTGCCCTGGGGGGGGGGGGGATACTTCTTGAGTAGCTGTCGGAGGACCTACATCTGTGAAATGAGCCTACTAGCACCGAGACGCCAATCCATAGACATTATATCGAAGCATATTCAATCCGCGTTTTTCATTACCTCTCACCAAGCGGCCAGTCCTCAAGTTAAAAAAAAAAGCATACATACACGTGTCCATCGGACAAAGTGCTGCCAGAAGTAGAAAAGCAGAAAGGCAAAGGAAGCAGCTGGGTTGTTCTGGGAGGGGGCGCACATGGCCAGCCTGCGGAGGGCAGCGCCGAGGCATCGCTCCCCGTCGGCTTCACCCACCCAGCTTCGGTGTCTTATCTCCTCCCCCCCCCAAAAAAAAAACCACCTGCGAAGTTGGACATCGAAATTCTCGGGCGAGCCGCCTCTCTCGACCAAACGGAAACCTCCCCCTCCCCGCCCGGGTGGGTCACATCCCCCCGCGCGCGGGGTCAGGGAGACCGGGCCCGCCAAGCCTTCGGGGAGAAGAGTCAGGCAGGAGCCTTCGCAGAGCCCCACCCGAGGCTCCTGGATGGAGTTCGGCGTTTCTCCCGTCCGGGTCCAGCTGTTCCCTACTCACCCACCCGCCGTCCTCCCACTCACCTGGGAACGACTCCATGGCCCTCCGCCCTGTCCTTCAGCAGCGGTTCGCCTTTCGCGCCGCTGCCGTGGCTGCAGCCGCCGCCGAGCCCGGGAGGACGCCCCGAGATCGCATCCCCCCTCTCTCCACTCCTGCTACTTTCGCCTTGCCGCTCTTGCTTGCCCCAGTCCTTCAGCGCCCGTCCGTTCTCCGCTCTCGGCTTTAGTCTCCCCACCACTAAACCCTCCTGGGGCTCTGCCGGTTGTCTCGCGCGGCGCGGTTGAAACGCCAAATGCCAGCCAGGCTCATCCGTGCCCGGGCGAGGAGCGAAGCGCTTCTCCTATTGCTCCCGCCGGTGCGGATCCAAGCACGGGAGAAGGCGATTATGTCCCGATCAAAGGCAGCGGCCAGATCCCATTTCAAAACAGAGCGGGAGGGAGGAGCGGGGAGAGTATGGGACGGCTTTTTTTTTTTTTTNATACATACATACATACATACATACATACATACATACATACATACATACATATATATATTTGTGCACAAGTATTTCTCTTTCCATTCTCTTCATTTTCATGCTCTGGTATAGACTGTTTTGAATTTGAGATTATCAGAGTATACTAAAACTCCTAAAATTGTAATTTTAGGGGGTACTAGATTGTCACTAAGGTCAACATTTTCTACCAAGACTACTTTCTTTCTATTTCACTAATGTAAAATGTCATTATCTGTTTCATACAATATTCCAGTTGGAACAAAACATGTATTATTACACACACACACACACACACAGAGTTGATAGGCAGAAGGGTGTTTTTTTCCCCTTCTAGAAAAGTCTAATGCTAAAGCATGAAAAGGAATAAAAACTGAAATCATGACTATGACAGCTAGAAGTTCCTCTAATAGAGCTAATTTACATAGTTGAGCTATTTGGAAAATTATACCTTTTGTTCACATGTCTAACTTTTCATCCAAAAATAAGAAACCATTCCAGACACTTTTTAAAACAAAATATTATGTAACAAGTGGTTTAAAATGATTTCTCCCTCTGAAGCCTACAAACAATGGCAACTACAGTCAGACTTCCTACAATTTTTCCTGTACACAAAAACATACATTTTCCTTATAAATATTCTCCTACATAGACCATTTAGCATTTCCTCAAACATGTTCTCTACTTACATTGAATTAAAGTAACAGATAAGGAAAACTGAAATCTTACATATCTGTATCTTGAAGTAACTGCTTTTGGTGAGATAGGTGACTATAGAAATTTGATAAATACATAACAAACTTTTCACTAAAACAAATGGGAGATGCTTCCAAGTACCTGTATGGAATGACTGCAATTGACTCTACAGGTAAACTACATTATTATAGAGCAGGAAAAGCTAGCCCTTCTAGACAGCTTCACCTTTATTCTGATTCTTAGTCCAAAGACTTCAGAAGTAACAAATAAGAATTTGTTTCAATAAAGCTTTCAGAAGTTACACCAAGTAATTTTCCTGCTATGAATAAGCACCCAAATCTAACAAAATTAAAGCTTCCAAGATACAAAAATTCAGGACGCCCAACAGCTGTGCCTATAGGATCACTGTATCTTAAGGGACTAGATAGTCCTAGGTTGACAGGACTATCTAGTCCCTTAAAATGGGATGTTATTTCAAACATAAATATCAAACTTTTAAAAACACATCTGGATAATTCTTACTGCATCTTAAGGGTGCATCCTAAGTATTTTTGTTCAGCCTAAAAAAAAACACAATCTTCCACAGCTAGTCTAACAAAAGGCTACACAGTATTCTTATATATAAAGAGACGTCTATTCAGTTTCTTTCACTTCTTAGGAAAAGGGGGGAGGGGTTTACTCACCAAAGCTGAAGTTGTAAGATTGGAGGGGTTTTTTTTGGGGGGGGGAGAGAACGGACTGTTCCTATGATGCCAATGAATTAACGGTCTTTAGGGACAGTGAACACAATTGCATGTTAATTGTTTCATTTTCTAGGACCATCCATTCCCTAAAAACGGTCCTAGGTCAAAGAAATGTTCTTTGCAAAAGAAAACGCCCGAAACCACTCGCTCTGAGGCTAGCCGAGCGCCTATATGGAGACTCAATACT